AGCTAAACATTTTTTTTCTTTCACCATTGAATGCAGTATGAAATAAGCTACATTTTGACTATATATAAGTTTATGTTGTATTAGTTTTTGAGGCTTTAGATTAGTTATAAATTTACATTGAAAGCGTCTTGTTACATATTTTGATAAATGTACCACCAGTTCACCTTGACATGTTCTGATTACAGACCAGAAGCTCTAACTACTGAGCTACCGAAAGCGTAGTGTACCTGAAAGTGCAGTCTAATCGCATTAATCCTCCGTTTTATATGATCGACTCATATCATAATCAATCTGGACGCAACTTTCCTCCATCTCTTTTCTAAACGTAATCTTGGTCAGCGTTCTACTTTAAAATGTATTAATGTATATTTCAAAAATTTACATCATATTATACTTTAAAGAAGCAGTAAATGATCGCTTTCCAGTACTTCTAATCCTTAATAGGAAGAGTATAAGTGAAAACTGTGACTATGATCATCTGATAAGCGCACATAAGTTTTTCAAAAATGTTTAACTGTACAAGCCTTTCATTGAAGATGTTTACTCATGGAGAGCATCATAAACTGCGTATGGTACAGGCGAAATTCTATGCTCTCTAAGTGGCTAGTTCGTAAATAACTGGTAGACGGATTATTTACAGTTATCAGTTAATAGTTAGTGTATGCTTTGCTGGCATTACATCGAAACCACTCTAGTGAGCAACTTACTCAAATCTTAGTAAGATCTTATTAAGATTTTGTTTACATTTGTCTAAGATCTTAGATAAATCCTACTAAGGTCATGTGATCCGAAAATTTTAAGATTTGATAAGATTGCTAAGATATTAGTAAGATTACATTGTCTAAGATTTTTTCAAGGTTGATAAGAATCTGGTAGGATCTTAGATGCAAAAATGACGATGTTGTTTTAATAATATTCATTCAAGATTCGCTGAGAATTTTTCGAATTTTAATCCACCTTATTCAAAGCAGCAGTTGAACAATGAAGAGAAGTTGCATATTTTTGGGTGTCCAACCATAGACCTTGACCTGCATATCACTCTCTAAAAAGTTGTTGAACACTTTGAAGAGAGCAAATACTAGCAGAGTCTCGAAAACATAACCGTAAAATCACTTATCTGTTGAGTGTTACTTTTGTAGATGAATGAGAGCAAAACAAATCGGTGAATGAAAGTAGAGTTATTAAATCTCATTAAGATCTTCGATTACCTTATCAAAATCTTAAAGGATACGATCTTCGTAAGATAATTTTAAGACGTGTCTAGGAATTTTACTAGGACAGTGATCATCAGACGGTAGAAACATTTACGTTGAAAGTAGAGGCGTCTGTAACTAAGACCATAACGACCTAATATTCTCGCCATAATTTATGTATCATGAGTACAGTCGAAATCCATCGTAATTAGTATATCCACTAGTTGTTGGGATGGGGGGTGAGAATTGATAAAAGTCGAGCGACAGATTGCAAAGCACTAGTCTATTTTCGGTAAATCACAAACATTTAGCGCACATATGAAGGAGCATCTCTTTATATGTACCTTCGGTATTCTTGTGTATTTTGTGTCAGGTATTAAGACAGTTAATGGCCTCTGCTGCAGCCGCTCCCACAAACACTTGCCCAAGATGTAATAAAGCTGTTTATGCTACTGAACGAGTTGCGGCTGTTGGACGATCCTGGCACAAAACCTGTTTCAAGTGTGGTGAGTCGAACTTTGTCGAACAACCACCACTCATACTCAACAGTGCGTCTTCTGCATCTTGTTCAGGTTCGTGCAGTGCACGATTAGGAGTGATGACAATGTTTGAACATGATGGAAACATCTATTGTAAGAAATGTTATCAGCAAAAAAAGACACTTGTCTCCACGAAAGAAGATATCCATGTTGCCGAAACGCTGTAAGTAGAAGCTGTCGGACTGAGAGAGTGCGACTGCAATTCAAGCGGCACTTTCAGATATGTCAAGTTCTTCAGGCTATTTCTGATGTTGCTCCCAAATCAAGATGACATTGGTTAATTTTTCTCAGGAAAACATTTTTCACATCAGCTCTATACCAATGGTTTCAAACTTTAAAGACTAGTAAAACTCAGTGCGCTGATGGTTTAAGTCACATTGAAAGATTTTGAAAATCTTGTCATCGGTTGTAATGACAGGACTACGAGAAATACCGCAACAGAATAGTTGTTAGCGATTGATTTTCCTCTCTAGTGCGAGTTGTAGAAAGCGTTCTATTTTAACAGCGGATACTGTTTACTTTTCCTGCAGAAAGGCGCAACGTTTTAGGCATTCTTCGATATTTTGATTCATTGATACCAATGCATCGTATATACTTCCATGTGAGAATGTAATGCAGATTTGGATGAATGTCAGAACAGTAGATGAAATATTCGAGAGAAAAACGTGTAAAACCACCATTTTCTATAAGTTCAAAAAACAGAATAAAGAAAAAAACTTCTATCAAAGAGAGTGGTCAGTATTAATGAGTTTTATCCATGATGAAAGTTCCACGTTTGCATCTCGTGAGATGACAAAGCAGTGACAAAAACCAAGCTGCTGCAGAATCTCTCCTAGTCTTATCATTACAACTGATGACTGGATTTTCAAAATCTTTCAAGGATATTTAAGTCATCAGTGCACTGAGATCCACTACAGAGATACCACCGGATCGAGCGCCCGTTCATGGACCGGTCAGGTTGAGACTTATCAACCGACCAGTTGGACCGATCTCGGTTGATTTGGCTTATAACTAGAAAATATGACAGAAAATAGCACATTTATATCGAACAGAAAGCAAAAAACACCGGTTGCTTACCGGTCAACTGGCCGGTCCGGTCCATCTATGCCCATTACGGCCAAGATTTTGTTGACCGGTGGCATCTCTGATTCACCAGTCTTGAAGTTTGAAACCATTGGTATAAACTGAGTGTAATTTTGTGAAACTCCCTCATTATCTACGAAGTGGAGGGAGTAACAGTTTTATACCCCACAACCACTGGCTTTTAGGATAAATTTGATCCCCTCCCCCTCCCCTCTGGAAGACATAACCTCTTAACACGACCAGATCTCTCGGTATTGGGAGTTCCACCTTTTAGCACCTTCAGGTGCTACCCTTCCAAGGCTTTTTACCAGTTTATAGAGGACATTTCGAAGTATATGTTGCAAAGATTTTTTCGGACTAATTTGTTTTCGTGTTTTTTTTGCCCGATTGTTCAAATTTCATTAGAAACTTCAGTCACAGATATGAAGAGTTGATTCCGGCGTAGTTCGATAGAGACCATTAAGTTGTATAAAAAAACTCAAAATAATTATCGGCTGAACTTTGACGTGGAAATTGAACTTTTACTTTCCCGATGGGATTTTGGATTTAAGAGTATTCTGACGAAAGCCTTACGGCTAGTTTTATTCAAATCAATCATTTTGGACGAAAACTCTTAGTACGAAAGCTGCTCAGAATCGAATTTCAGAGCCTCTCATGACATCAGGGCTTTTTTCGAAAACATTTTGTAAATTTTTGAATTTTACATTTTGAGCGCACGGGAAATGTTGTTGGAAAATAGCTCCCGTTAGGGACTCTGAAATTCGATTCTGAACAACCGAATGCTGCCTTCTAGCGAAATCTGATTCAAGGTCAAGGTTCAGGTTTGTAGCGCCTCAGTATTTTCGATTTTAAAGACTGATCGTAAGAAATTTAGCGATAGCAAAGTATTATCTCATAGAAAATAATATGATAAATAATTTCCACACTCACATTTACGTTCCAAAATGCTTCCTCGCAGAGAAACTAGAGGCAAGACCTTGAAAAAGCACACCTTTGGGCCAGAACCATTCTTAACAAATCCGAATTTTTCCGCCAAACCTTGTTCGAACGATGACAGTCTTTCCACATATACTTCTCGAGGCCCTCTATAGATTGGTTAAAAAACCGAGGCTTCGAACTGGAAAGCAAAAATTGTGTGTATATTTCAAAAAAATTGCAAAAAGGGCCGCAAAAAATTAAAAAAGTTTTTTCCAGAAAACTTCAAGTCCGTAACCTCCAAACTTTTCAAGTATATATTCTGAAGTGATCTCTCCAATCTAGCGAAGTTTGAACGAAATTCAAATGAGGGACCCTCTATAAGTCAGATTTTCGAACGAGTCGTTTATCCACTTTCGTTTGCACAAAACTGTTGTTGTGTGTGGATGAACCTGAACAGCAAACAAGATTCAACTATGAGATCAAGTCATGTGATAATAAGACAATATCATTTGCATTCGGGGGATCATGTAGGCGATAGTGCCAAAAGAAGAACTCTGTACTATCCAATCAACTATTTGCTAATCTTCTAGACCTACTTTGACGTTAGGAAAAGCGTTGCAACAACCTGTGATAGAGAACAGAACTTCGAGTGAAAACAGATCCGATACACGAAGACATGACGTTAGCCAACGAAACCTCGAAGCAAACACCGTTATCTGGCTAGATGCAAATGTTCACCAGACAAATGACAACATCAAAGCACAGGCTCAAATACGACGATTAATCAACTATCTCAGAACATTCGATGATCTCAATCAATGTGCTGACTATATCACTTCTCTCACTACAACCAAAGTCTTTCTCATCGTTTCTGGTGCTCTCGGTCAGCACATCGTCCCTCTCATCCATCAAATGACACAAGTCGACTCCGTCTACGTCTTCTGTTCCAACAAGGGCTATCATCAGCAGTGGGCAAACAACTATGACAAAGTGAATGGTGTTCACACCGACATCGACTCCATCTGTGTGCAACTAAGCAAAGATGTGGCTGCATCCTCGAACAATGATCTCTTGATGAGTGTCATCTCTAACAACAAGTCATCATCCAGCAAACAAGAAGCCTCATTCATGTACTTTCAGCTCCTCATCGACATTCTCCTTCGCATGGACGACGCACATGGCAATGGCAAACAAGCGATGGTGGATGCATGTCGACAACAATATGCTGGCAATGAGAGTGAACTGCAGATCGTCGCTGATTTCGATGATGAGTACTCGGCTGAGAGAGTCATTTGGTGGTACACGCGTAAGTGTTTCCTGTATCGTATGCTCAACCAGGCACTAATAGTGTTTGACATAGAGATCCTCTTCAAGTTTCGCTTCTTCGTCAAACACCTTCACTCTCAACTCGTCCATCTTCACTCGAACAGCGTCAAAGATGGCACGCTCATCGTCTATCGTGGTCAGCGGATGGCGACAGACGAGTTCGATATACTTCGTCAGAATGTGGGTGGCTTTCTGTCAATGAACGGTTTCTTGTCGACATCGAGCAGCCGCGATGTGGCATTGAGATTCTCTCGTCAAGCACTCAATCATTCACATATGGAAGCTGTTGTGTTCGAGATGATGATCGACACTGCACGATGTGCACGACCATTTCATAACGTCCAGAACATGAGTTACTTCAAGACAGAGACAGAGGTTCTGTTCTCGATGGGCACAGTGTTTCGGATATCATCAGTTGACAAGCTCGGTAGCGGTATATGGACTGTGAAGCTGGTTCTGAATGGTGATGAGGATATCGAATTGAGACGACTCATAGACCTCACGAAGAAGGAAATACAAGGATCAAATGATTTCTTCAGTTTAGGGAGTTTACTAATGAAGATGGGTGAACATGATAAAGCAGAAGAGTTTTATCTGATGATGCTTAAGACTAGTTCTCCGAATGATGGTGGTATCGGAGCTATTTATAACAAAATTGGACTGAGTTATTGGGAAAGACGCAACAATGCGCAGGCATTACTTTATTACAACAAGTCTCTAGATATCTACAAGAAATGTTTGCCTGCAGATTCAGCATCACTAGCCGCAGTATATGCCGATATTGGCGCCGTATATAAAGCAGAGGGTGACTTGGACCAGGCACTGATGAACATGGAAAAGGCACTGAAAATACAAGAGAAATCTCTTTCGCCAGATGATCCGGGTCTTGCAACAATGTACAACAACATTGGAGTGGTGTATCATGAGAAGAAGGAGTATTACAAGACTCTAGAATACTTTCTAAAAAGCTTGAATATTCAACAAGTAGTTCTCCCTCCGAATCACCCTACATTGGCCACTACATATAACAACATTGCTAGTGGGCATTATGTGAGAAGTGAGTATGCACAAGCGCCGAAATATATGCAAATGATACTGAAGATACAACTGCGTTTATTACCACTATAGGCGACACTTTCTCGTTCCCTTCCCAAAAAAGGAAAAGTAAAAACTGACTTTCCTCCCCCCTCTCCCCCCAAAAAAGGAAAAGAAAGTGTGATATAGCTTTCATTTGGGTTTTTTCCCTATGAAGAAAGCACTTTATAGGAAAACCAAGCCAATATTCGGGAAAGAAAAGCGGGAAAAGAAAGTGAGTTTTTACGTGCTTTTTTTTGGGACAGGAAAGAGAAAGTGCCACCCTAGTTACCACCAGCACATCCTTCTCTTGCAGGGACATACTACGACATTGGACGAGGGTATGAAGAACAAGAAAACTACTCGAAAGCATTACAAAACGTGACTGTAGCCTACGAAATTGCGAAAAGAGCGAAGCATCAAGACACACACGAGTATGAACGGATGATTGAGAGACTGCGTGAGAAAATAGCAATCTCGAAGAGTTAGTGAGAACACATGCTTATATTCTCTTTCTCTTATTTTTCCGCATACAACCAAAAAATTTTCTTGTATGTGGATACGATTGCCATGCATTTATTCGATGGATATCAGGTTGAATATTCTGACTTTGTTTGCGCCGCAGGAGTCGTTAAATGACAGAGGCAGACGTTTTGAAAACTGATGTATTCACACTATCATGTGTTGGGCTCAAATTGCACTGGTTTTAGCAATTGTCAATCCTACTCGTGTGCATTTTGTACGGTTAGAAACTCAAACATGTTGCACGATGAGTTTTGAAAAATCATTTCTTATTTCATCATATATTGATAAGTCTCCTCTACTGACATGGTCGCTTTTGAGATTGTTTCAATTCCAAGGAAAGTAGCTGATTCAAATTATTTGATTACACAAGGGTATTTGATGTATTTAGAAGTAGGTATCTTGATTCTTCGAAACACATACAGTTGCATGTCGCTCAACCAACAAAATTAGCGATTGTTAGATCATTAGCAGTACATCTCACATACATTTTTATGCCAACATTTTTTGTAAGTTAATGCACCTATAAACACATTAGTTGACACATCCGACGTGTTTTGAAGCGTTTTTGTAGCTACTGAACGCGTTTCAAGACGTTAGTTAAAGTAAAATGCTCCCAAATGCGGCAAAATTTCACGCAACATAACGCGTCAAACAGTAACGCTTAGAAAGGCGGCAAGTTCTGACGCGTTTAGCTGGACGATTATACAATAAATTAACGCGTTCGGAAGAGTTAACTTGTGTTTTAGAAATGAACGCACCGAACCGCGTTGCAGGTAACTTATTGGTTGATGCGTTTTCCTGCGTTAAAGGATTGTGAACGAGTTTGGATGCGTTCAAGATACGGTTATTCTCATAGGGAAAAACTGAATGGACGTTTAGCGGGCGTACGCTATGCAGTATTATCAATAAGATTTTGAATCAAAATGCACTGGTACATTTTGTTTTTCTAATAAAGTGCATAACAGGCGTAAATTTCTTTTTACGAAGTGTACTTCAGCAAAGTCTCTTAAAAGCAAAAATTCAGAGTGCACGTGCACTTTACTTCCGCTTAGTGCACTTATCATCAGAAACGTTGAGGCTATGGCGAAGGTAAAACAGGTTTCGCATATAAGACTGAGATTTCTGCTCTTTTTGCCCTTTTACCGCCTAAAAAACAAATAAACGAAGACGATTAAGACAAATTTCTGACAGATCTTCGGTAAATTATTAAACTCAAACCGCTTTCTTTCCTTTAAATGATTATGGAGGAGAAGTAAATGAATGAATCAACAAACGTTGTGTGTCGCATTACAAAGTCCATGAAAAGGGCTTTAAGCTTATAAAAATGTGCGGTCTAATAGATTAAGAAGCAAACACCAACGCTTTTAGGCCGATAAGAAATGAACGAATATACATGACTGAGTACAGGAAAAAAGAGTAGTGGGTCTTTGCCCGCGCATCACTCTCATGCTACTTCGCGACCCACTCATAACTACAGATATATAACATGCGATGCAAAAGTTTTTGTAAAAATGTCGAACATGATTTCTGCATGTTTCTGAAACGCTGACGCTTTAATTGTTTTTGCATCGGAAAGAGCAAAGTCTGAACTTCAAAGAACAAAGAAAACAAAAGTTTTTGTAATTGAGTTTGAGTGTGGAAAAGACTACGTACGATAAGTCGCCAAAAAAGCTCTTGCAACTTTCTCTCTCTTCAAATGTATCCTTCTCAACAAAAGTATTTTATCGCTCGCTATAAAAGACTAAGTTTCAAATTATATAACTATAGAAACTAGAAGTGTTTTTGTTGCTCTTTCGAATAGGATGGGATAAATTAGCTTTCGATCTACTTTTCAATTAGAAATTCTTTAGTTTTCCATTTGTTCAGAAAAAGAGTTGATTAGACTTAAGCAATAATTTTCGTGTACTAAGTGACTTTGTCCTTTTACTAAAACACATGTTCTGAAACAGCATTCAATTCTCTACAAATTCACATTAGTTTTAATTTTTACTGACATATCTTGAACCCTGAATAACAAGTTTTCTTAATGTTTCTTACGAAGAGTAGAGTTTTATAATCAGTTTTTTTACTATTAAGAATTAATGAGAAATTTTCGATAGTAGATGGATCGGTACAATTGTGTGCAGGCGACATTCTAATCTCTTCGGCGACTTTCATACAATATCCGATAGAGAATTTCACGCTGAACCAGGATATCGGCATTCAGGCTTCCTAGTAAAAGTTCAACAAAAACCTGCATTTCCGCCGATACTATAGTTTTGTACCAGTGCAATAATGTTATTTGTGATTTTTTCGGACTTTTATGACTTATGATTTTACGAAAAGTATATGTTCGTAAAACTCCAGTGCTGGGCGAGTCCGAGTCATGACTCGGACTTGAGTCGACTCGAGTCGCATTTTTTTAATGACTCTGACTTGACTTGGACTCGAAAATTGGAAGACGTTGACTCGGCTGTTTGACTCGAGTCATTCATTCGAAAAAAATGCTATTCATTAACTGCTGCATATCACCGACAAAAAATTAAAGTTCATTTAGAGTTAAAGCAAAGTGCTTTTTCGTATTCAGCACACTTGATAACCTGGAAAATTTTCTATTCTTAGCGAGGGGTACCGCCAAAAAGTTAAGAAA